AAAAACAGGCATTTTATTCATTTATACAAGTTATCAAAGAATATACATATATTTATTTATTTTAATTTTCAAAAAATTATATTAGGCACTACCTGTTGCATTATCTGGTCGAGACATTATTGGCATAGCAAAAACAGGTAGAGATCAATTTTGCAATTCAGAAAGTTGAAACTGTTAATAATGATACAACAACATTAATAAATTCTTATTAATAGGTTCTGGTAAAACAGCAGCATTCATATGGCCAATGCTGATACACATAATGGATCAAGAAGAACTTAAAAAAGGTATTAAAAAGATTATTTTTTATATATGTACCATCACTATATACTAAATATTATATTTCAAATCCTTCCTTATTAATCAGGAGAAGGACCTATTGGATTAATATTGGCGCCTACAAGGGAATTGACAAGTCAAATTTACATTGAAGCCAAAAAATTTGCAAAGAGTTACGGATTGAGGTAGAAATCATAGAATTTGATCTCTCATATACATATATATAAAATTGTTAGAAAAAAAAAATCCTATCGACGCATACACTACTGTCTCTCTCTGCTTCCCAAATACTTTGCTTTCTAATTAAATGCAGAGTTGCTGCAGTTTATGGCGGTGCCTCTAAAATGGATCAATTCAAAGAACTGAGACAGGGTAATATAGAAATCCTTGTTGGTACACCAGTAAGTTTAAGAAAAAAAAAACCCAAATTTTTTTTTACCAATAACTATTATGTCAAAAATTTTTTTTTTGATGAAAAAACATTTATTTAAATATTTATATATGAAATCAGGGAAGACTTATTGACATGGTAAAAATGAAAGCAACAAATTTCCGTCGAGTTAGTTTCTTGGTCCTTGATGAAGCTGATCGAATGTTTGATCTTGGATTTGGTAAATTAATGATAACAACACAAACGACAGTAATAATAATAGCAATAATGATGATAATAATATTAACCAGATATATCATTATGATTCAACGTTACGTTAATATATCTAGAACCACAAGTACGATCCATATGTGATAATATCCGACCAGATAGACAAAGTAAATGCTCGATTTATTGATTAATTGATTTGCAGAGATTCTCAATGTTGCTTATTTATCAATTTATTTCTAACTATTTTTAAATATAAATATTATTATAAATAGCATTACTTTTTAGTGCAACCTTTCCCAAAAAAGTGGAAAAATTAGCTCGTGAAGTTACAACAGAACCTATTAGAATATCAATTGGCAATATTGGACAGGTATACAAATATACACATACGTATAAATAGATATTTAAAATTTCTTAACAAACGGGAATAACTTTTTTAGGCAAATACTGATATCACACAAGTATTTGTTATTCTAACCGATGATGGGTATAAATGGGACTGGCTGATTTCGAATTTAGTGGCACTTTGTGTTGGTGAGTGAACCTTACATATTATATAATGAAAAGCTCTTCCATTTCTATCAAAAAAATATTCATTGTCATTATCAGTTGGTTTTAAAAGACTTTTATTTCTCTCTTGAAACATTGTGCCTAAGAGTGTATTTGGATATTGTGTAAGTGTTGATATATAAGTCACATACTTTTATTTTTTTTTTCAAAAATGATTAATTCAATTAACGTTATAAAAGCCATTATTATTTGAAGTTAAATATACACATACTTTAATGCCTCCAACATTCAAAGTAACTCTTTCGTCAATATCTTTGGTTTCTCTTTGATGATTACTACTTTCCTCCATGTTTTTTTTTTATTGTTATAATTTTTAATGTCGTATTAATGTTATCGGATCAGTATTGTTACAGATATCTGGATATTTTTAGGGGGATATATCCATTTAATATCAAACTTACTTTATACAGATAATCCAAATATTATAAGAGGATAAATGTTTTGGTGTGGGAAAATTTACTAAAACGATTCACACGTTCACGAAAATTTTTTATAACTGTTGCAAATTTTAGTTTTAAAGTACGAGAATGACTATAAACTTCATCATCATCTGTAAAATAGTGTATCCTTCTACAAGCATCTATTGACTTATAAATCTTCCCATCCAAAAAACCTACAATTTTCTTGACAGTTTCAAACCAATTTCGTACAATCTTTGGTTTGGATAAGGTATTTGGAAATAATCAAATTCAAGTTTCTTTTGTGAGATCAACAAAACTTGATACTTTTGATAATAATAATAGTTAAAATTATATTGAATAAGAAATATTTAGATGAAAATTTAAAAAATTTAATATGATAACATATAGTGCTTAATCTATCTGATAAATTAAACAATCAAGTTAACAAATAATTGTACAATTAATAATATTAATTCACAAAATCATAATTCAATGTTATCCTTAATTGACGATAATTATTATAATTATAATTCATGAATTTTATACCCGGAAATTTCTTCTCTAATTCCTTTTCAATATTGTCACTAAGTATTCGAAGACCCTTATAACAATTATTAATATTAACTCCAGTTTCAAGATCGGAAATACAAATCTTATTATCCTTTGAAAACTCAAAAGAAATAGATGTTTCAAGATTTTCCAATGACTTGTAAATTGGTTCTTCTAAAACGTTTATAATATCATCAATAAATTTCCTATGTTTTAAACCAATTTCACGCAATCTTTGATTTGGAAAAGGTATTTGAAAATAATCCAATTCATTTTCAACTTCCATTCGTGATATATTAAAATTGTCCGCTTTCCGGCTATGATCAAATGGATCCCATAAATATTTACCTGTACGGTAATATTCCATTATATAATGAAAAGCTCTTCCATTTCTATCAAAAAAATATTCATTATCATTATCAGTTGGTTTTAAAAGACTTTTATTTCTCTCTTGAAACAT